GATTTATATGAAAATAAGAGATTTTATGTGATATATAATTTTTGCATGATTTTAGCCAACAAATTTTTAATTATTGATTTAATTAAGATTTTTAACCATTTTTTAAGATTATATTTTCAAAATTTGATGATATAATTAATTATATCGTATATTTCTCCACATTTTATGATATGTATTTTATAATCAAACATACTTTTTCATTTAAAATTTTCTTAAATATAAATTATAAGTTTCAAAAAATACTCTAAAATATATAACTAATATTAAATATGTTTGCATATGTTTAATTTTGAATTTAATATTTTGTCCATTTTTTATGGTAACAAAATTAAAATGATTTCCATAAATATAGATAGTTTTTGTTTTTTATTTTTTATTTATTTATTTATCTTTTTTGCTGTCTTTTAGTGTGTTTGGCTATAAGTTTGAGATTGTATATTTTGTAATATTTTTTTTACAAGTTTGTTTGGCTACAAAGACAAATAATGATCCCCAATTAATAGTATAGATTCACAATACACAAATACTCATTAAAAAACCAATGTGCAGGTTTTGTATGATTTGTCTGTAATCTGAAAATTAGCAAAAATATAGAAGTTTTAACATAATAACTAGGGATGGACCCGCACGTACGTGCGAGATTGGTTGCAAAAACTATGTTTATCATAAAATTTCTAATATTTTAATCGACATGATATAAGACGCGGATCGAGTGTGAACTGAATGAGTGATAAATTAGAAATCAATTAAATTTGTGAACTTTCACATCACATAAACTAATGAAAAACATTAAAAATTTTGAATAAAATAACATAAATATAGATATCAGGACTGTCAAACCCGTTCACTATGCATGTCCTACAACAAATTGAAATATTTTGGTCCACCCACATGAATAAATAGTATGTCTTCAGCTTGCCCGTTACCCATAATTCCCTTTTGTATATTATTAGAATTAGTTAAGATAATAAATTTTTTATTTTCTAAATTACCCGTTCCCTTTCCGTTATTTCTTGTCCCAATATTTGAAAATTTTTAAGTGAAACTTACTTTTGCTATTAAAATTTCATATTCTTGTATCATACCCGTCATTTGATATTTGAAAGTTAAAATTAAGTTTAAGTTTCCAAATTTTTTATATAGGCTTGTTTTTGATGAGAAATAGTTTAGATATTTTTTTTTTTGAATTACCCATTCCCTTTTTGTTCCCGTTCTTTCTCTCTAAGATAATATCATATTTTTTATATATAAATGAAATAATTTACATTTTTTTAAAAAACCAACATTATATAGCTTGTATTTAACTAATTAAATTACTCGTTCTCTTTCTGTATTCGTTATTTCGTGTTCCGATATTTGAAATATTTAAGTAATTTGAAACTTACTTTTGCTATTTAAATTTCATATTCATGTATGATACCCGTCATTTGATATTTAAAAGTTGAACTTGAATTTAAGTTTCCAAATTTTTTATATCATCTTGTTTTTGATGAGAAATAGTTATATAATTCTTTTTTTTTTGAATTAACCGTTTCTTTTTGTGCTCGTTCTTTCCTTCTAAGATAAGATTATATATATATTTTTTTATAAATGGCATCATTTACATACATTTTTTTTTAAAAAAACAACATTATATTGCCTGTAATTAACAACATTTAAAAAAACAATACCGTTAATTATTAGGTTGTAGAAACGTATAGCTTGTAATTAGAGTATAATGTTTTATTTTGTATTACCGTAAAATTTGAAGAAATGTAAGCAAAGAGTCACATTTATAAACTACGAACTTATCTCTGTTTAAATCTTCAAAAAGAAATGAATCAATTGAACAAAAAATATATTAAATATTTTACTAAGTAATGAAAATTCAAATAACTATTTTCTTCCATTAAATGTTTAATTCTTTTTGTGGATTGGCAATGTTATATTATACGGAAAATATAATAATCGTGTGAT